ACAGGTACACCTATATGTTTATGTTGATGTTTGAGGTGAGGGATAGGACAGAGGACAGGTACACCTATATGTTTATGTTGATGTTTGAGGTGAGGGATAGGACAGAGGACAGGTACACCTATATGTTTATGTTGATGTTTGAGGTGAGGGATAGGACAGAGGACAGGTACACCTATATGTTTATGTTGATGTTTGAGGTGAGGGATAGGACAGAGGACAGGTACACCTATATGTTTATGTTGATGTTTGAGGTGAGGGATAGGACAGAGGACAGGTACACCTATATGTTTATGTTGATGTTTGAGGTGAGGGATAGGACAGAGGACAGGTACACCTATATGTTTATGTTGATGTTTGAGGTGAGGGATAGGACAGAGGACAGGTACACCTATATGTTTATGTTGATGTTTGAGGTGAGGGATAGGACAGAGGACAGGTACACCTATATGTTTATGTTGATGTTTGAGGTGAGGGATAGGACAGAGGACAGGTACACCTATATGTTTATGTTGATGTTTGAGGTGAGGGATAGGACAGAGGACAGGTACACCTATATGTTTATGTTGATGTTTGAGGTGAGGGATAGGACAGAGGACAGGTACACCTATATGTTTATGTTGATGTTTGAGGTGAGGGATAGGACAGAGGACAGGTACACCTATATGTTTATGTTGATGTTTGAGGTGAGGGATAGGACAGAGGACAGGTACACCTATATGTTTATGTTGATGTTTGAGGTGAGGGATAGGACAGAGGACAGGTACACCTATATGTTTATGTTGATGTTTGAGGTGAGGGATAGGACAGAGGACAGGTACACCTATATGTTTATGTTGATGTTTGAGGTGAGGGATAGGACAGAGGACAGGTACACCTATATGTTTATGTTGATGTTTGAGGTGAGGGATAGGACAGAGGACAGGTACACCTATATGTTTATGTTGATGTTTGAGGTGAGGGATAGGACAGAGGACAGGTACACCTATATGTTTATGTTGATGTTTGAGGTGAGGGATAGGACAGAGGACAGGTACACCTATATGTTTATGTTGATGTTTGAGGTGAGGGATAGGACAGAGGACAGGTACACCTATATGTTTATGTTGATGTTTGAGGTGAGGGATAGGACAGAGGACAGGTACACCTATATGTTTATGTTGATGTTTGAGGTGAGGGATAGGACAGAGGACAGGTACACCTATATGTTTATGTTGATGTTTGAGGTGAGGGATAGGACAGAGGACAGGTACACCTATATGTTTATGTTGATGTTTGAGGTGAGGGATAGGACAGAGGACAGGTACACCTATATGTTTATGTTGATGTTTGAGGTGAGGGATAGGACAGAGGACAGGTACACCTATATGTTTATGTTGATGTTTGAGGTGAGGGATAGGACAGAGGACAGGTACACCTATATGTTTATGTTGATGTTTGAGGTGAGGGATAGGACAGAGGACAGGTACACCTATATGTTTATGTTGATGTTTGAGGTGAGGGATAGGACAGAGGACAGGTACACCTATATGTTTATGTTGATGTTTGAGGTGAGGGATAGGACAGAGGACAGGTACACCTATATGTTTATGTTGATGTTTGAGGTGAGGGATAGGACAGAGGACAGGTACACCTATATGTTTATGTTGATGTTTGAGGTGAGGGATAGGACAGAGGACAGGTACACCTATATGTTTATGTTGATGTTTGAGGTGAGGGATAGGACAGAGGACAGGTACACCTATATGTTTATGTTGATGTTTGAGGTGAGGGATAGGACAGAGGACAGGTACACCTATATGTTTATGTTGATGTTTGAGGTGAGGGATAGGACAGAGGACAGGTACACCTATATGTTTATGTTGATGTTTGAGGTGAGGGATAGGACAGAGGACAGGTACACCTATATGTTTATGTTGATGTTTGAGGTGAGGGATAGGACAGAGGACAGGTACACCTATATGTTTATGTTGATGTTTGAGGTGAGGGATAGGACAGAGGACAGGTACACCTATATGTTTATGTTGATGTTTGAGGTGAGGGATAGGACAGAGGACAGGTACACCTATATGTTTATGTTGATGTTTGAGGTGAGGGATAGGACAGAGGACAGGTACACCTATATGTTTATGTTGATGTTTGAGGTGAGGGATAGGACAGAGGACAGGTACACCTATATGTTTATGTTGATGTTTGAGGTGAGGGATAGGACAGAGGACAGGTACACCTATATGTTTATGTTGATGTTTGAGGTGAGGGATAGGACAGAGGACAGGTACACCTATGTGTTTATGTTGAGGTGATGGATAGGACAGAGGACAGGTACACCTATGTGTTTATGTTGAGGTGATGGATAGGACAGAGGACAGTGGTACAGCTATGTTTATGTTGATGTTTGAGGATAGGGATAGGACAGAGGACAGGTACACCTATGTGTTTATGTTGAGGTTATGGATAGGACAGAGGACAGGTACACCTATGTGTTTATGTTGAGGTGATGGATAGGACAGAGGACAGGTACACCTATGTGTTTATGTTGAGGTGATGGATAGGACAGAGGACAGGTACACCTATGTGTTTATGTTGAGGTGATGGATAGGACAGAGGACAGGTACACCTATGTGTTTATGTTGAGGTGATGGATAGGACAGAGGACAGGTACACCTATGTGTTTATGTTGAGGTGATGGATAGGACAGAGGACAGGTACACCTATGTGTTTATGTTGAGGTGATGGATAGGACAGAGGACAGGTACACCTATGTGTTTATGTTGAGGTGATGGATAGGACAGAGGACAGGTACACCTATGTGTTTATGTTGAGGTGATGGATAGGACAGAGGACAGGTACACCTATGTGTTTATGTTGAGGTGATGGATAGGACAGAGGACAGGTACACCTATGTGTTTATGTTGAGGTGATGGATAGGACAGAGGACAGGTACACCTATGTGTTTATGTTGAGGTGATGGATAGGACAGAGGACAGGTACACCTATGTGTTTATGTTGAGGTGATGGATAGGACAGAGGACAGGTACACCTATGTGTTTATGTTGAGGTGATGGATAGGACAGAGGACAGGTACACCTATGTGTTTATGTTGAGGTGATGGATAGGACAGAGGACAGGTACACCTATGTGTTTATGTTGAGGTGATGGATAGGACAGAGGACAGGTACACCTATGTGTTTATGTTGAGGTGATGGATAGGACAGAGGACAGGTACACCTATGTGTTTATGTTGAGGTGATGGATAGGACAGAGGACAGGTACACCTATGTGTTTATGTTGAGGTGATGGATAGGACAGAGGACAGGTACACCTATGTGTTTATGTTGAGGTGATGGATAGGACAGAGGACAGGTACACCTATGTGTTTATGTTGAGGTGATGGATAGGACAGAGGACAGGTACACCTATGTGTTTATGTTGAGGTGATGGATAGGACAGAGGACAGGTACACCTATGTGTTTATGTTGAGGTGATGGATAGGACAGAGGACAGGTACACCTATGTGTTTATGTTGAGGTGATGGATAGGACAGAGGACAGGTACACCTATGTGTTTATGTTGAGGTGATGGATAGGACAGAGGACAGTGGTACAGCTATGTTTATGTTGATGTTTGAGGATAGGGATAGGACAGAGGACAGGTACACCTATATGTTTATGTTGATGTTTGAGGTGAGGGGTAGGACAGAGGACAGGTACACCTATATGTTTTTGTTGATGTTTGAGGTGTGGGATAGGACAGAGGACAGGTACATCTATATGTTTATGTTGATGTTTGAGGTGTGGGATAGGACAGAGGACAGGTACATCTATATGTTTATGTTGATGTTTGAGGATAGAGATAGGACAGAGAATAGGTACACCTATATGTTTATGTTGATATTTGAGGATAGGGATAGGACAGAGGACAGGTACACCTATATGTTTATGTTGATGTTTGAGGTGAGGGATAGGACAGAGGACAGGTACACCTATTTGTTTATGTTGATGTTTGAGGATAGAGATAGGACAGAGGACAGGTACACCTATATGTTTATGTTGATGTTTGAGGTGAGGGATAGGACAGAGAACAGGTACACCTATTTGTTTATGTTGATGTTTGAGGATAGAGATAGGACAGAGGACAGGTACACCTATTTGTTTATGTTGATTTTTGAGGATAGAGATAGGACAGGTACACCTATATGTTTATGTTGATGTTTGAGGTGAGGGATATGACAGAGGACAGGTACACCTATTTGTCTATGTTGATGTTTGAGGTGAGGGATAGGACAGAGAACAGGTACACCTATTTGTCTATGTTGATGTTTGAGGTGAGGGATAGGACCGAGGACAGGTACACCTAAATGGTTATGTTGATGTTTGAGGTGAGGGATAGGACAGAGTACAGGTACACCTATATGTTTATGTTGATGTTTGAGGTGTGGGATATAAGGGACCTTATATGGAGTTATACCACTTAGACCTTATATGGAGTTGTAACACTTAGACCGTATATGGAGTTGTAACACTTAGTCCTTATATGGAGTTATAACACTTAGACCTTATATGGAGTTGTAACACTTAGACCGTATATGGAGTTATAACACTTAGTCCTTATATGGAGTTATAACACTTAGACCTTATATGGAGTTGTAACACTTAAACCTTATATGGAGTTGTAACACTTAGACCGTATATGGAGTTGTAACACTTAGACCTTATATGGAGTTATAACACTTAGACCTTATATGGAGTTACACATTCATGGTTTCTACTAAGATGTTGGCATGTCTATGACTCTTTGAGCCATAACATCTACTGACTTTCCTACCACATTTAGTTTTCTGGATAGTACAATAGTATGATGAAACAATAAGAGGATAAATTCAGTAATAATTGTAGAACAATGTAGCTAACTGTAATTTTATTGAAATGGGGAAACTTTTCCATAGTACAAACCTGAACTCAATCAATTTTTATTTTTAGTCTGCAGTGTGGGGGTAGTCATAAGGGGCTTCCCTGGGGGAAGGTAACCTTAGGATGGGCATACTGGCAGTGCGATGTCCCATCCATATGTATGTAGGGCATTCCAGGATCCAAGGTATGGTTTGCTCATCAACTTTGCCTTAATTAAGGGTGTATGGTACGCGTAACTGACAGATTTGCTTTTGATTTGTGCTGCAGTTATCTCCCTTTGAATGTCTTAATGCAAGGTAGTGAAACCTTTGGATAATAATTTACATAAAAATTGCACATGATATTCAATATGTACCTGGAGTCTCAAACAACCACTCAATGAGAACAATCAGTAAGGTAGCATACAACCTTAAGAGAAAGAAATTTCTTGAAAAAATATCAAGTACCAGAACCTGATGTTGTTTGGAAAATGACTGAGAGTTGATTTGTATTGTGAACTGTTTCCAATTGCAGGGTTCCAGCTGAGGCGAAAGCTGGCGGCTTGGCCTGATGTAGCCCAAAGCAATCCCCTGGTCCATAGGAGGTAATTAACACTCATGAAAATAATTATTAAAATGTGAAAGTAAAATGTTGATTGCAATTAATTTCTGTTCTCATAAATGTTTACCTTAAATGTAGTTGAAATGTTGAAAAATAATTAACATCAAAATGACACAGCATGTCTATAGATGCAGTTGCTCTCATAAGAAAGAAAAATCTTATGCTTGCCTTCACTATTTTCAGGACATGGGGGACGTGCCTGGAGGTGGCACTGATGGGACACTGGCAAATCTAATATATATGGACTGTCTTCATCCTGAGGTAATTGATAGTGTAGAAGATCTAGAGATAGCAATCATGTCTTAACTCATTTCTCAAGATAGCTTGAATGAGTTCTTACTGTATCGATCTTCAAGGTCAGTTTCTATATTATAATGAAAAGATCATTGTCTGCATTCTGTATCTCTGCACTTCTGGCACAGTCTGGCTTGAGCATCATGCACCTGCTTGTATTGGTTTTGTTTCCATCATTTCCTACTTTGTGCATATTTCTTTTTTGTACAATGTTAAGATGGAAAATCAACTTTTATATTGAAAGATGGTTTCTTGTTGACTTCAAAACTTCTATATTTATAGTTCTATTTCTACCATCAAATAAATCTGAAATTTTCATAAACACCCATGTGTGAAACCAAATTCTAAATGACGAATACACTCCACTTGTGTTATTCACTGATGATTTTAATTTTGTACTAAAAAATGGCTCAAAAGTTGCAAGAAGACCATTTCAGAATCGTACCCTGTCTTGACTCTTGACAGGCTACTATTGAGGTCTCAGATTGGTACAGAGTAGGGTATGGTAACCTCTAAATGTCATTGAAGTGAGGGGGCCGCGGTGGCCAAGTGGTCAAGGCGTCTGACATTCTGCTACCACCAGCCCTCCACCTCTGGGTCGGGGGTTCGAAACCTACGTGGGGCAGCTAGCTGTCACCAGGTACTGGCCCTGTGGTTTTTCTCTGGGAACTCCGGCTTTCCTCCACCAACAAAACCTGGCACGTCCTTTAATGACCATAGCTGGTAATAGGACATAAAACACAAACAAACCAAACCAAACTTTAAACTAAAGTTTACCAGCAAAATCAACTAGTTTTACCACTGTCACTACTATTATGAAATATTAATTTATGACATTTTCAAAAGAAATGTTGCCTTGAACTTGACTGATTAGTAGTTTTTCGAAATTTGAATGTTTTGAAATACAAATGAAAAAAAGGAAAACAAGAAAAGTGGATATTAGTCAAACTCAGAACCTTTACATTACGAATCGTACCTTTTAAATTTACAAGCATACAATGTAGGATCAAAATGAGTTTCAAATTTATTGGCCCAAAGCACATGAGAAACTTGACAGGGGAAGTCACTCTATAAACCCCTTTTCTTGCTTCGTCTTCTGATAAGAAGGGAGAATACTCCAAATCATGAAATTCTTGTATTGGAACTTTTCTTCAGGATTGTTACTGATGCAGTGGTACCCTTAACCTGAAAAGGCCTAGTGATGGGCCGATAAAGAGCTATTACACTTAGGATATTTTACTTTGGTCAGCAGGCCATGAAGATCGACACCATTGCAATCACATGATTGTGCAATCACTCCCTTTTCTCCTTTAAATATGATCGCAATCAATCAAATTAAAGTGTAGTCAACGTGCTTAATGCCAGCTAAATATTTTACTCCATAATAAGGAAAATAGATAATTTTCATCTCATTGAATAATTGATGTATTCAGGACTTTGTCCAAAGAGGTGAGTTTGTGAAATAAAATTAACATGAAATAAAAGTATACAAGAAATATATATAATTGATTAGCAGGCTTTTTTTTAAAAATTTTTATTCTCAACGGGAATCCATCTTAACATACAGTTAACATACAATTATACTGTGTACAATCAAAATTTGCAATGCATCAGTACAGCAAATTGAACAAGAAGAAAAAAGCAAAGTTTTTTCACATGGTTTTCCTGAAAAGTGGAATAACAAGATCTGAGGGAATATGTGTGTGTATGTCAATGAAATGCGGTCACAATATATGTATATGATACAGTAACAAGACATCGGGGAGATCTATAATAGTCAAAGGTCAAGGTCATCTGCTACAGAGTTTTACAACAGGTTGAGCTATGACGACCAACTACCAAGTCGGAGGTCTATGTCTCAAGGTCACATTATTGCAGAGTTGCGCATGCATAAGATTCAGAGATCAAAGGTCAATGTCATTTTTGAATTTCAATTTTCCCACCACACCAAAGGAATAAACATTAAGGAGGCAGTACAGCTGCTGAGACTGAAG